TTTTTTTTTTTTTTTAATGTAGGTCTTTGTGTTCTGGGTAAAGTCATGCTTGGTCAAATGAAGCTTCATGTTATTTCTCTGTTAATGTGGTGTTTATTTTATGATGCACAAAGGCAGACATCAACTGAAAGTTTGTATCCAATTCTAGGCAGATGGTGATGCTAAAAGATTAATATTTAAGCTACTTTCCTATCCATCTGCAAGATAATCTTAGAATTTATGGAAGTAGTAGACATTCTTCAGACCATATGAAACTGGGATGAGAAACTCTGCCTGTTAGTTTAGTTCTGCAAAATATGACCTAAGTAAGGTCATATTTTGTACAGTGCTCTGTTGGACAAGATAATTTTGGTTCACCTAAAGGACTGTGGGTGCCACTTCTGTTCATCAAACAAGGCGGCTTTTCTGGCTGTGTGCTTATATACTGGGAAGAATTTGCTAGGCATCTGGAGTTGCCCTTAATGTCATCTTTTTCTCTGAAGGTAACTGTTTTATCTTTACAACACCTCTTGGGGGGAAGTCTGACCCAGAGAACTGCTTAAGATACCTGTAGTTATCAACTTGGAGATAGGGAAAGAACTCTGAAGAGACTGTAAGGATTGGAATTACCAACATGTATAACAACAAATTGTGGACTAGAAAAATCAGTACAATAAATTTCCTTCTCTGATTTTATGTATTAATTAAAAACTGCCACCTAAAGTATAAATTTCTTTTCTTTTTCTTTTTTCTTTGTTTTGGTGGAACCGGGGATTGAACTCAGGTCCTTGCGCTTGCCAGGGAAGCGCTTATTCTACTGAGCCATCTCCCGGTCGGTCCCAAGTATAAATTTCTTGAGATTAGGGATTGTATCTTTTTAACTTTTGTACCCCTACTACCTAGTACAGAGCTTCAGTAAGTACTAAAAAGATGAATGAATGCATATATGCACAAACAAATTAATGATATGCCTTCCTCTGGCTGCACCAGACCAATTTTTTGAAATGACTCAGAGGAAAGCTGAAATTACAGTTTGAGAGACATTGGGGAAGTAATTCCAAGGAAAATTAGCATTCATTCCAGGTAAATGGTTTAAAAATCATAGCAACAGGAATATTAAGATCTTTACTAAAACCATCATAAGAAAGGTGAAAGGCTGCCTACCCTCATTGATTTTTGTTTTTCAAACACTAAGAACATGCAACTAACTGTGGCAACATGTCTATTCTCAGGAGATGAAGTTACGTGCACAGCACACATTTGTGTATCTGCTCCTCATGCATGTGAAAATGCACACACATTTCCTGGAAAACCCAGCAGTCCACTCAAATGGGAAGTGGCTAATGCAGATGTCACTACTACTTAACCTCTCTGTAAGAGAGGGGCAGTTCTCTTTTTAAAGGCTAAGGGAGAAATAGGCCATATACTCTAGGAGATGGACCAACTTGGTAGCAAAGTAATTTTAGCACGCAGGGCTTACACTGAAATAACAGTGGTTTCATTTCACACCCATAACGATAAGGAAAATTGGCTAGAGATGGAAGAAAAAAGGCTTCCCATTTCTTTATTTTATTTTTTAAATTTTATTTATTTATTTGTGTGTGTGTGTGTGTGTGTGTGTGTGTGTGTCCCCAGCTCAGCCCACCAGGGGGCGGGGCTGGCTGGCATGTGGTGCTGGGGGATTGAACCGCGGTCCCTGTGCTTTGCTAAGCTTATTCTAAGTAGGTGCTTTAGACCACTGAGCAACCTCACCAGTCCCCCCATTTCTTTAATTACCTTAAAGATGTGTGCTTTAAGGATATGATGTCCCAGTTCAATAGTCTGCTGCCGGTTTAGTTTTCCCTCTTGGCGGGAAAACCAGAAGGCAAGTAATGTGTGACCACTCCTGCAAAGAAAAATAGTCTTATTTTAGAATTGTAATACCTCAGTTCCGCTTTGAGTGGGGAACTGTTTAGACTTAGCAATATCAGCAACTAAACTCATTTGATTAATTTCTTGAAGAGTAGTTACTGTTGGGCAGATAATGAGTATTATAAAAGTTGCTACATTTTAACAGTCCTTTACCCAATCAAATGTATGACTATTATAACCAATGAATGAACACCAGTTCTAGTTGAACTACAATTATACCACACAAAGGTCACATTAAATGATTTTCCCTTTATTTTCTGTCTCTGTTAGCAACTCTTTATTTTTTTTTCTCCCATTCCTCTAGCAACTCTTACTTTACCACTGTTTAAATGTTAAGTGTTTCCCAGGATTTTTATATTAATATTTACTATCACCCCGTCTGGATTAGCTCATTCATCCTCAGAGACTACTTGGCTTCTCTTCTCAGTTCATAGACAAGTATGTATCTAAATGTTTACTGGATTTCTTCCTGTTATTTCTGCATAGCATTTATATTCAACAGGTTTTAACTACATTAAGGTCCACTTGCCCAAATCAAGTCTTCTCTGATCAGTTCTACCAAGCTTCTACTCCCTTCTAGAGTAGACAGCAGCACTGTCTTTTTGGTGCCACCGGTGTAGACTATATATACTTCTAATACAGTATTTACCCATGCTCTTTCCTTCACTAGGCTGTTTGCTGATGACTTCCAGTTCCCCATAACCCCTTGTCAATAGATTTCCTATCTGTTCATAAAAGAGAAACTTACTTTTTCTGAATATGGATATTGTTACATCTGCCTCCAATAACCCAGAACTGCTTCTTTCCTCTTTTAAATCATATGGTTAGTTGGCTTGAGGACAAAGGTAAAAGGATGGCTAGGTTAAAAGAACTGCAGAATTAGAGCCTAAGCTATGACTGCCCTAATTTTGTACTTGCTATTATATAAAGTAATAACTTTGTTTTCTTTAATACATTTGGATGTTTGTTTTGGAGCAAGGGACTAAACCCAGGACTTTCACAGTGAGTCACTGAGCTACAAGTATAGTCTTTATTTTTTACTTTGAAACAGAGTCTTCCTAGGTCACTAAATTAACTGCCCAGACTCAGCTTCAGTTTGTAATTTTCCTGCCTTAGCCTCCCAGAGTCTGGGAATGCACCATTTCCAACGTATGTCTTTAAGCATGAATGAGCGCATGTTTGTAGAGATACAGGGGACATGTGTATTA